CACCCAAGTAATAGAAGCAAATAAAAAATAGAAAATAGAATGGTCAGAAGAAAAACAAAATACAAAAAATTTTACACGGTTCAGCCTAAATGGCAAGTGAGTGAGAAGCAATCCACTTATAATAGAAATATTACAAGGATATGATAAATACAACTCCTTGATATTTATTCACATCCTCTATGATATTATTGCTCTCAACGTCACATCTCTACAATGATACACACAATACGCACACTGTTCTGTCCCTCTTGTACAAAATCCACTGTGTATTCCCTTTTAACCCGTGTATCTCTGTTACACTTACCAGCTGCAAGATATACAGAGATGTTTTAAGAACTAGGTTAAAAATTAATTTTTTTAAGAATTTTTTACTTGTTTTTAAAAAATATATAAAAAAATAAAAAAATAATGTAATGTAAAAGGGATTAAGGATTCATATGAGAATAAGTTATTTTAGTAACTTTTAAATTTTTTAAGAAAAGATGTATAAAAAAATAGAGAGAGTGATGTAATAATTTATAATAATTTTTTAATTTTTTAATTAAAATAGGTAATGAACAAACGAGATGTAAAAATTAAAAAAAATTACTTTTAACTTATTTTTCAAAAGCGGTCATAGAAGACATGCAAAAGCTAGCTGCCAACTTCCCAATGATGAGCTCATATTTATTTATTTGGGATGACTTAAATAAGTGTATTTTTTGTCTTTTTATAAAAAAATGTGCAAAAAAGTAAAGAGATGATGTGATGAAAAAAAATAAAAAAAAAAAGATAAATTATTTGAAGTATGCCAAACTTATTACCAACCCAACCCATGCAACCTTTTGGACTTCCAAGAGAAAAGCTATAAATAAACCACCATCATTATTATATACATTTTGTCACACCACAGCCACCGGGTATAAGAAATATCGCCACATCTATCAATTAATATATATATATATATATATTAGTGTATTAATTATTTATTATGTAAATTATAAATATTTAAAATTTTTAAAATTATGTCACATCATCTATTAATATATTAGTTAGTACATTAATTAATACATATATCATTATTCAAGAAATAAAAGAAAACTTTTTTCTATTTCCCTAGCCAACACCATTAATACACAAAAATAAAATAAACTACTAATTATTTTACTACATAAAAAAAAAAGAATAATGTTATATGCACTAATTAGTACACTAACTAGTGTACTAATTCATAGCATAACTTAAGAATTTTTTGATATTTATAATGTGATTAATGAGTAGGGTCAATAATAATGTTTTAACTAGTGATGATACACTAATTAGTATATTAATTAATACATATAGCACTGTCAATAAAAAAATCTCAACAAATTCGTGATAAGTCTTATGAGTCCCTCAATATTTGAGAAAAGCATTTTACGCATTAAAATAAAATAAAAAAATTGTTAACATCTATAACTCAACTTATTTACTTTATTTGCTTAAAAAAATTAACTAATGGTGTTTGGTTGTTATTTTAGTTTATAATTTATTTCTATTTTAATTATTTGACAAAAAAAAAAATTTGAGAACTTATTTGAAACCTCTAAATATGTACAGACAAAATAACTCTCTTTTGTCTTTTGAAAGTATTATGAATATTTACATAATAAAAAAAAGCTATAGTTCAATTTTGTTTTAATAGATTAAAAGCTGCACTAAATAGATTTATAATTTATTTGCATTCTTTTAAACTAATAATCTAACAAATATATAATCTAATAAAGCTCCGTTCGGGAAGTGGATTGACTTTTTAACTTTTTGACTTTTTTTGACTATTTTAGCCTAAGACTAATAAGCTTGGTTTGGGAAGGACTTTTAGCTTTTTTGACTTTTTCGTGAGAAAAAGAATTTAATAATTATAGGTTGGATATGATATTTTATCTTATTGAATTAAAAAGTCTATTTTATTTTTATGACTATTTTAGCTAAAAAAAACTCACAAACCAACTTGCCAAACTGAGGTTTAAAGTAATATCAAATGTTGCCATCGCATTGTACTTGTTTAGTGCATCTTCAGTAAGATGGAAGTTAAAACCAAAAATAGGGTATGTTTGGTTTGTGTTTGAGAGATGTGTTTTAGAGATAAAAAGTACGAAAAGTTATTTGGTTTGGTTTTTTTCAAAAGATGTTTTGGAAAATTATTTTGAGAGAGAGTTTTGGAAAAAGTGATTGATTTGATGTGTGTGTGAGAGAGAGAGATTTGTTTGGAAAACTTGTTTGGTTTACAAGTTTTGAGAAATTTTTTTGGAAAAATTTGTTTGGTTTGATTACTTTTAAAAACTTATTTGTAGAGAAAATTTTCCAAAAATTTTTCACAAATACAAACCAAACTCCCTCTTTTTTAATAATTAACTAACACATCAGCCGTGCTATGTACAGATTGTGTTTATAATTATCTATATATGTAAATTGTGATTTTTAAATATATATATTTTTTAAATGTCTTCTTTTTTTACTTTTTTATATTATATTAAAGTTTAATATTTTGATTATAATCATATGTGTTGGACTTTTCAAGGAATTAAATGTCTTTTTTTTTAATTATATTATATTAAAGTTTAATATTTTGATAATAATCATATGTGTTGAACTTTTCAAGAATTTGTTTTTATACTTGTTCTTAATGCATTAAAGTGTTATTATGAGAGATAATAATTATATGTGTTGGGACTTTTCAAGAAATTCATGTGTTGGATTTCAAAGAATTTTTTTTATGTATGTTCTTAATGCATTAAAGTGTTACTATGATGGTAAGACTTGGGAGTTGGGAGAAATTAATAAATGCTAAGATTTTTTTTTAAAATCAAAAAATCAGAAAATTTAGATTGGAAGATTAGAGCTCCCAAAAAGGCTTGGGGTTAAAAACTCCATTTTACTTAATATATAGTAAGTATAGATTTTTCTTCACTTACCTCTTTCCTATTTTGTCTCATAAGTTGTAAAGGAGTGTTTGTTTGGTGGGATACAACTATGGTATTCAACTCCGTGTTGGATAGAATAATTAGTCTAATGTTTGGATAAAAAAATAAAAGTTGGACTAATAATTTTTCATATGTGGATAACTCTATTCTATGGGAAGTGTGAAATAAAAATAAACAGATTGAGCCAACCTCCGGATTAGCTAGTTAAATGATGAAATTAACCCCTTAAGTATATAATATTTCTTTCTTTTATTTTTTTAAACATGTTGAATTTTTTTTTAAACATGTATAAATTAATCCTGTAATATATAATTGTTTTCTTTTATTTTTTTGGTATTAGCAAAATAATAAAAGGAAATATACTTTTAATATTTAAAAAGAAAAGAATATATAACATATTTTTTCAATATGTATATAAATTAATCTCGTGATATATAATAGTCTTCTCGTTTTTTTTCTTTTTTTCTTTTTTATATTAACAAAATTATATATACTTCTAATGTATAGTGGTCTTACTAAAATAAAATAAAATATAATATACTTAAAATTTAGTATTGCCATTACAAACAATTCAAAAAGAAAACAAAATGATCTTTTGAGAAGTTATCAGTTTTTATAATTTTCTAATTAAACATGAGATTCACTAAAATAGGTATTTCCAAATATCTAATTCTACGACAAAACAAATATGAGATATTAATCATTTCCATTCAAATAGTCCTAGGACTATTTATCTAGGACTAATAGTCTGTTGGATTCCAATTCTCCCTTAACATGACCTAAGTAAATACAACACCAAACACTCTAGCACATATGTTCAAAAATAAGCAACTCAATTAATTGAGTCAAACAATCCCATTAACTCTTGAAAAAATATCAAATAAGTGATGTTTATATAAAATAATTACAAATCAGTGATAAACTTTACAAACATGAATAATTATAATTTATAATTATTTTTTGAAACGTGGACTGAATTGTAATTTCCCCTTTTAACTCTTTCTTTCTCATGTGAAAAGATAGTAATGGATCATGGATGGATAAAGCCCACATGAATGAAGGATAATAATAAGGACAAGCATTCATGAGCACGAGCACGAGCACGAGCATGACATCCACACAACAGGTTATTGTTTGGTAAGTACCCACCAGAAAGCAGACCATATGACATCTCTCTTGACTAACAAATTCCATAAAATTGGTCAAAGGCTGATCTGATGATCACCAATCACCTCCCCAGACCAAACCAGACCGACTTATGACTTCACTCAAAGTTTGAAAACTCCGCCGCAACCTTTGAACTTTTATAACAGAGAAATAGAACAAGCAAAACTCTCAGTTGAGTCTAGAGAGGGTAATTGGAGCCGTGCAAATGGGCCGAACTTAGGGCTGTGCAAATGAGCCAGGCCAAGTTTGCGTGCAAAGTGAGCCAAGCTAAGTTTGTATGGGCCTTGTGTTTGTGCCGGGCAGCGAGCCGAACTAAGTGGACTTCGTCTAGCTCTGTATGTCGTTCTAAGTTGACATGGTTTTGAGACTCTGCTAGTTTTGTTAGACCGAATAACACTTGGTGGGTTATGACAACAGAGTTAACCAACGGAACAACTGAGCTAGGTCTTGCAATTAGCACGACATTACGCATTGCTCCGCCGTCTTAAAGGCAAGCATTCAGTATGGTTACTCGGACCTTGACTAACCAAAATAACTTTCTTAGCTTCATGGCCGAGTTAAGAGTTGTGTTATTTTACTCGCACTTTGGAGATAAAGGTGTTAAAGGATAGGCATTATCCCTTAAGAGATAGACTCCGGATAGGACTCTACGAAGAGGACTTACAGTCCTACTAAGATTCTATCTTGTGAAATATATAAAAGCTCAGAGGCAATCCCTAAAGAGCTAATACAATTTCAGAGAATTGACTTAAGCATCAGCTGGGTTTTCCGGAACACATCTGCTGGGTAACTCACTGAAGTTGTTTTTCAGGAAGAACGACACCATTCGTCGGGGATTGAAGCTTGATCACGAGGAGTACACGTGACGAATATTTTGTGCCCGTACAAGTCTTATTGAAGTATTTCCTGACTCAATACGATTAAATTCGGATTATTCAGAACAATATCCGAATAATATTTTGCAGGAAGAATATTCAGAACAAGAAATTCCGATTATTCAGAACAATATTTTGTAGGAAGAACGAGTTAATTCGGATCACAAGGAGTACACGTGACAAATATTTTGTGCCCATTCTCTGAACTGCTCCAGCTCAGAAAAATGAAAAATGGAAGAAAATGAGATCATTACAAGAACGCCTTGGGTATAATTATAAATAAATCCCCAGCAAGGGAAACAGTTTCATATAATAACGGGGAAGAATTTGGAAGTGATTCTTTGGGTTCAGACTAGATTTGCGATAACAGCATCTACTACCTCTTGGGTGGTGCTGCTTCCACCGAGATCTTTTGTCCGATACTTGCCCTGTGAGATTACATGCTTCATGGCAATCTCCAAGCGATCTGCAAACGAAGGAAACTGAAGATGTCTCAACATCATGGCTGATGAGAGAAGTAGAGCAACTGGGTTTGCCTTCTTTTTCTCCACCAACTTGTCATTTCCCACATTTCCTGCCGAAGCACCTTGCTCAAAAATAGCATGATCAGCCCCAACGTTACCTGAAGTCATCAAAACAATTACATCATCATTTGTGAGTAATTAATACATCGGCTCTGAATATGCTAAGAATGACTGGAGAAAAACTAGATTGAGTGCAACCTCATAACATACGACTAATCAAAGAAAAAGAGAAAAGACTATGAATGTGTTGAATGATTGTGAGTACCTCCTGGCATTACACCAGTGCCTCCAGCAATACCAGCTGCTGTATTTGCCACGAGATTGCCATAAAGATTAGGAGTAACCTACAAAACATAAGACTGTAAGTCTTCATCAACAGCCTGTCAATAAGGTCGGGTGAGAAAGTAGACATGAGTGCATATGGAACATTAATTGGGCTAAATGAAAAAAGAAACATGGTAAAATCAAGAGGGTTCTTATGTATAAGATTCCGGCAAATGATTCAACATGCTACTAGTGAAAACTCCAAATCATCTGGACCCCGTTAAAAAAAACAAAAAGAAAAAAACACGGCAATGAAGGTTTGGCTCCCAATTCTCAAACCAGGGAGAGTTGTTTGTTATTACACCTTGGGCTACCAAAAACAACTTCATGCATATAATTTGGGGTTAAGATAATTCTTCAGCAAGAGACCAGGAACAAGAATTGACTTATTTTCGTATTCTATGCAAATGAGCAAAAGAAGCACTTCAACTTTAGTCTAGTTCATGTCAACTCAATCATAACTTTGGAAGTAATATTATGCCACCAATAAAGAGTTGGATATTAAAATTCTTCCCCATCAACCCAAACAAAAATGTCTATATTGACAACCAAGTTTAATAGGATTCCAGTGGCCACGATTTATTAGCCTCATCAGCTATTGTCCATGTTAACTCAATCATATCATCGAACACAATTTAATGACACAAGTAATAGGGTTAAATATTTTTAAATTCTTCCAATTAATGCAGAAAAAAATGTCTATATCAACAACAAAGTTGAACAGGATTCCAGTGCCCCCGTGGCAGTGAGGTAGCAGTTATTTAGCAAACTCGTCAGCATTCACTTAGAAAACCAAGAATATATTGATTAATTTCAGAGTGGAACATAATCCATTTATTGTTTCACTCGATGCTCCAATCAACCTTTCACTTCATGCTTTCAAAAGAAGAAAACATTGTTTCCTATTGAGCCCTAACTAACACATAAAATAAACAGGGAATTTTACATACTGGTCCGCTTAAAATAGTTACATGTTCCAAACGTTCTATATCAAAACAAACAGCATATCAACTATAATCTTGTAAAAATAAAAAGCAGGTCTCCCCACCTTTGGAAGCCCAAGTTCACCAAGGACATCAAGATAAACATCAATAGATATTCTTTAAGTCCTTAAGATCAGTTAAAAAGAAAATTGAGTGTATGAAGACAACAGAGCACTGCAGGCCATATATGAATTTTAATCAGTGACATTACCATAACATCAAATTGCTCGGGCTTCGAAACAAGTTGCATGCAGCAGTTGTCTACAATTATCTCATTGTACTTGATACTGGGATACAGGCTCGCGACCTCTTGGCAGGATTCTAAAAATATACCATCAGCAAGTTTCATAATGTTGGCTTTATGCACAGCTGTCACTTGCTTTCTGTTGTTGAGGTAAGCATACTCAAAGGCATATCTTGCAATACGTTCGGAGCAAAACTTTGTCATTACCTAGCAAAAGTCAGGTGAGAAACATCCAACCTCCAAACTCAGAAAATTTTATGAAAAATTTGTCATTTAATCTTGATTGGGATCCAAACCTACAAAAAAAAAAAATTAAAAAAATAAACATAAAAAAAAAGGAGGAAGAGAACAGATAGATCTCTGTCGAAAAAAAAAATTATCTAGCAGGACTAAAACTAAGTTGAGCTAAATTAAGAGCACAAATTCCTGATAAGATATATAGTGAATAAAAGAACGAAAACACAATTTTCAAATAAATATATATGGCATGAGCAGAAGTTAAGTTATAACATTTGCAAGGAAAAATTCAGGAGTAATGGCAATTGCTAAGGGCATAATTGTAATGATATAAGAGAATAATTGTCCTTCAATCCCTCCTTACTTTTAATGAAATAAGGGCATGTTTGATTGACAGGATTAGAGTATGGGATTGAAATTATTAATCCGTGAGCCCAATAACCCTGTGTTTGTTTTGAAATTTTGTTTCAGGATTATTAATCTAACAAATTTGTAGGATTATTAGTAATGAGGTAAGAGTGAGATTATATATCCTAAGCTGGCAAATAAAATAAAAGACTCTTTTATCCTTGACTAAAAATTAAAACACTTCTTATTTTTATATAATTTTATATTTTAGAAGGCTAAAAATAATTTTTAAAAATATATTTTGATATTTATTTTATCAAATTAGTTTATATTTTTTTTAAAAAAAAATTAAAAAACAAATCAAACATGGCCTTTGTATTTTGTATTTTTATTTTGCTTTTATTTATTTATTTATAATTTTTTCAAAACCACGTTTATGAAGAAATTTTGATAAAGTAAAGATTGTGAATAAATATTGATAGAGGGTAAGATTGGAAAAGAAGATAAATATAGTTGTAATCCTACATTTATATATTTTCTTATCCAATGCAAATCAAACAATAGATAATGGGATAATTTATCCTACTAATCCAATTGGATAGTGAATACACACTAATTTGATGGGATTATTAATATTTCAATATTACTCTTATGAATCAAACATAGCCTAAGAGTATAATTGTAGAAACACTAAAAACATAGTTTGGTTTCATTTCCAAAAATTGTTTTTGTTCTCGAAAACGAAAGAAAATGATAATTGATACAGAAAACTTGCTTGAGAACAGTTTCTGAGAAAGTTTTTGAAAAATATAAAATATACATAAAAATGTAGGAAATTGTTTTAAATTGTTTTTTGAATTCTGAAAATCTGTTTGCATAAGAAAAAAAAAACAATATGAAAACCACGAACCATTTAATTTATTGTTTTCGAAAAACTAGGAATAAAATTATACTAGACAAGCCTATTCTTTTCCTTCCTCATTTTCTTTCCACTTAACCAAACAACTAGGAGGGATGACATAATCCATTCCCTAGGTTCTCTCTGTCCATCCCTCCTCTCCTTTCCCCACACTTTCAATCCCTTGTACCAAACATAGCTTTAAGTTTTAGATAAGATAGTGGCTTCTAAATGGGAAACAACTTGAGCAATGTCATTCCTTAATTTATTTGCATTCATAATCTGGTAAAAGAGCCAAAAGTATCCTCTCACACACACTTTCCCACCATCATCAAAACATTAATGCTGTGTTTGGTTGGGGGATTTGGAGAGGGATTTGGAAAGGGAAATGGAAAAGGTAGGTGAAATGTGAATAAAATATGTATATATTTTACATAGTTTCCCACACCTTTTTCCTTTCCCTTTCCAAATCCCTCGCCAAATCCCCAACCAAACACACCATAAGATTGTCTTTGGATTATGAATTTACCAAAATGAAATAATGGAGAATAGCCCAAATTTAGATTTCGTAGTTTAGATATAAGAGCTTTGTCACATGAATTTAAAATAACAAAGTTAAAGTAGTTACTTAAAATCATCCATGCTAAAGGTTGTAGTCGTACAATGATCCAAATAAAATACTTGCACTTTTTCATCTCTAATTTGTCTTGTTAATCCACTTATAACAGTTTAATTTTTTTATATAAAATTCAGAAAGGGACACTGAATAGCATGCACAATTTCAATAACAGAGAACTAAGCTCATACTTACAAGGCTCGACTCGACTCGATCAATAGGCAATACATACCTTAAGGCTTTCCACGACGCCAGGAACGACCCCGTGCTCGAGTCCCGAATATTCGCCCTCCGTGTTCTCCCTAATCACAACAATATCAACATTCTCATGCTTGGTCTGCAAACCCTCCAAATTGAAGCAATGGACAAGGGAAGCGTAGAGATCGAGCTCCTTCCTCAGCTGAACGTTCAGCGAATTCACACCACCGCCTACGGGAGTCCTAAGCCCTCCCTTCAAGCACACCTTGTTCTTGCGGATCGATTCGATCACCTCCGGAGGAGCGCTCTTCATGTCGCCTCGGACTTGGTAGCGATCGAAGTACACCGGCGCGTGCATTGCCTCCATGACCTGCTCGACGGCGCCGGTGACCAGAGGTCCGATTCCGTCGCCCGAAATTAGAGTGACCTCTCTCGGAGCGCCATCTCCGGGTCGGGGCATGTACGTTACGGATCGTGATGGTGATCGAGTGCGCAGTTGTTTGAGGATGGGTGTGAATCGACGAGCCATTGATGTGGAGGACTTTGATTCGATTTCTGATTGGAGCCTGTCTGGGAGGGAATTGAATGAATGAAAGGGTGCAAGGAAGAGAGAGAGCTTCTGTTGTGTTGTAGAGAATCCATGAAAGAGCGGGTAATGGATGTGATGGACTGGACGAGAAAAATTAAATTGCATTTGAACTAGTACCGTGTTACTTTGAAGTTAATTCTATTTCAGTTCCGCAAGTTTTAAGAGGTAGAATGGAATGAATTGATAGGGGTGAATTAAATAATTTAAAGTAAAATTATGTTTATTTTGATGATAGTTATTAGTGTAAAAATTGTTAAATTATTTGTATATAAAATAAATATAAAATAATAAAAAAAATACAAAAATACAAAAATATTAAACATTAATGTTCTAAAAAAAAGTCCAACATGTAAAAAATTTTAAAAAAATAAAAATAAAATAAAAAATTTCCATAAAAAATAAAATAAATAAAATAATGATTTTTACTTAACAAAAAATACAAAAAATTAAACATTAATGTTCAAAAAAAATGCCTAATATGTAAAAAATAAAATAAAAAATATATAAAAATAAAAATTTTCTAGTCCGCCAGACTATTTTTCTAATATCAAGTCCTGGAGGCCCATCCTAATCCGAAGTTCACTATCAATCCCCTCCCCATCTCTCAAAACAAACACAATATTTGTGGGTCCCACCTCACTACAAATCTCAATCTCTTCTCTAACTCTCTAAACAAACGGGACCTTAGGCTCTTAGCGCATCTTCGACTAGGCTGTGAAAAATACTCTCTAATCGGTTATAATTGTACCGATCCATATTAATTTACACCGTTCTAATTATTAATTGTAGTTTAAATTTTACAATTTATAATTCACTAACCGAATTATTCTGCTCCGCTATAGTTAATATATATATATATATATATTTTTTTTAACTTTCAATGAAATATTAATGTAAAAATAAGTGTGAGAGAAATTTAATATATGAAATTTATTACAAATTAGTAGTTATATGAAACATATTATGTAAAATTATTTTGTGTTATATATCTAAAAAATATTATACAAATTAGTGTTATATATCATGTAAATGTATGATAATTAGTTAGAATATTCTTCAATCTGTCAAAAACTGTTCAAACCACAATTTGTCAATCCATTAATCCGCTAAACCGCCATCCGATTTGTAATTTTACTCTCAAATCGCTTGAACCGTATCGCGTACACCCTCTATCTTCAACTGTGTATCAATTTTTTCATTAAATTTGAGTGAAAACTTTATTTGATATCAATGACTTTAACGGAAAATTTTGGAGTTTCATCAAACCATTGGTTGACCGGACGGATGCCCGGCAGTCGACTAGTTAGTGTAAATATATGTATTTTTTTGTCTTGAGGAGATCGACCAGTCAGTATAATTTTTTTCCTTTTTTTTGCCTTGAGGTGCTCATCCGAGAAGACATTTCGAGAACATTCGGGGGATATCCGATAACAGCAATAAACAATGATTTGATGAAAGAAAATTTCATCCTCAATTTGATAACAGAAAAGTGAAATTTTCAATTTAATACTGAATTGATGAAATCATTATAGCTAAAAAATAAATATTTTTTTATCAAATTTAAATTTAATGATAAATCTAATATACGGTTGAAGATGGTCTACCTCTCCGACTTTTGCCTGTTTCCACCAAGTTAACAAAAATTTCTGGTATTTATTTGTTACGTATTAGCCAAAATATCCTTTCATTTTTTTTTTTTTTAATGGTGGCTTTTATGGCAGTTACGGATTTGATTTTTCATAAAAACATATAACTATTTTAACACACTCAATACAATAGCATATTCCCTTTGAGCATGAGTTTTTCTTTTATCAAGTTCTGTTTATTTTTCTGATAAAAAAAAAAAAAGTTCTGTTTATTTTGATGTAAAAAAATATTTTACTTATTTTATATTATTTGGTTGAACAAAAAATAAGTAAAATATTTTTGTATTATTTTTTAAAAAATAATTTCCTTTTAAAATTTTCGTAAGTTAATTTTTATAAAATTGACTCTCACTCACTACATTTTCAATATATTTAGCATTTTCAAATAAGTATCTTAACTCACTAAAAAGTCGTAAATGATACTTTGTTAAATTAAAATTTCTCTTTGAGGTAATAAAATATTTTGTTTCAAGAGTTAACCAAATGCCGAAAAATAAAAAGACAAAAATATTTTTTTGTGTAAAATTAATTTACAAGAAAAATATTTTTGATGTAATATATTTTACGTCAAAACAAACGGAATCCAAATGTAAAATCCCATAGCGTTAAAACCCACATTCCACTTGTTGAAAGTTGATTTTAAATTAGATTAAAGATTATTTTAGAAAGATGGTTAAAAGTTAACTTTTTAGTTTCTTTGACCGCTAACTTTTTAGTTTATTTGACTTTTTTGAAAAAATGTGTAAAAAATGTGAGAGATAATATAATCCAGAATAGATTAAAAGCTAGAAGGTGGCTTTTATCCATCTTCCCAAAATAATCCTAAGTAAAACAATCAAATTTGAGCAATACTAAAAGTTTGTTGAGTATTTATTTTAAATTTAAATAATCTATTATTCAATTTGACTTAGTTATAGGCATTACAAAAAATCATGTTAATTCAATTCAACTCGACTCATGAACGATTCAATTAAAATTGCATTGAGATCAATTTATAAGGTAAACAAATCAATTTTGGACATATTTTAAAATTTGTTAAATTTTCAAATTAAACGTGAACAACTTTTACTATGGAGATCAATTCATCTCGTTTATGGGAGAAAACTCCAAAACAAAACAAAACAAAATGAGACGAAAAGTCGACCCTTTGGTACAGAAGTTTTAACCAATTCAAATAACTCCATTAGTTTGCATCTTTACGTGAAGTGCTTTCGAAAAACACAAACAGTCTTGGTGGTTCGCCTGGTTGGCCTCAGACTTGAACATGTGAACCAAGCTGGAAATCCATATGCTGAAGCAATAACACTACACAAAGGCATCAAAAACATTTTTTTTAAAGCTATGGAGAGACTTGTTCTGGTCATAAGCTAGAATTAATTGCGGTGCTTTCAGTAATGAAGGAATCAGATCAAATACAGTTGGTATAGTTGAAATTTTTTCAGAATTCATTCATCAAATTCCACCTGACATTGAAATCTTTCTTCACAACCATAAAAAGCAGCAAGCAAATGATATGCAGCAGACCTAATAGTCAGAATGGTCTAATAATGCAGGAGATTGTTTTTGTTTTAAAAACAAAAAAAATTAAACTGATACTAAACAGGTGGACGTATATAAAGCTTACATCACCATTCACAACCTGATTCACATGCAGAATTATACTCGTGTTTATAAGAAGGCCCACCACATGTATGTTAATGAAGTAATAATTTCAATGAAATGCATGTTCAAATTCGTGCATTGTTTGCACAAAAGGAGGGAGAACAGAACAAAACAAAGCATGTGCAAAAACATTGTAGGGACACACCATTTTCCGAAGTTCCTACACTACGAATTCTGGTTTAGTTATTCAAAACAAGTTGACCTGCCTGTCAACCTTAGAAGACCAATTACCAAGTAAAATGAATATAATCACTCAAGTTGAGGAAGCTTTAAAACATGACAAGATCTTTGTAATTCTTCAAGGCATTGCCAACTGGTCAATTGATGCTTTTAATTTTGACTCTGCTTAGACTATGAAAAGCACTCAAAAGAACAGATGAAAATTGTATTAAGCAAAACATGGTCACTATGAAACAAGAAAATAACAAATCCAAAATTGGTCATCAGATACGTAAGAGTACCAATTCTGTTATGTGTTAGTGTGTGTGTGATAAGTAGAGTATATCATTCTAAATTTAACAAGTAATACTAGTGCAACTATGCACAACTTAGCAGCACAAATAACATAGATACAAAAACCATAATGAAATACAAGTGCAACTGCAAATTCATGCTCTGTGGAGTGCAGTAGTATTAGTTTACAATCTTGAGCATGAACCAAGGATGCATTAATTATGCCTACTCTACAAAAATGGCTACCAGTAGCCAATACAACCAATTTAAATTCAAATCTTCATCAAGTTGAATTGAGTGGTCTAGACTCAAGCTATAACAGGCTTCAAATTATTAGTGTCTGATGGAAAAAAAGGCATCTTTTAAGCAATATAGTGGTTGTAATTCAATGATCTTGGAGGTTAAATGGTTTTACATATAAAACTTGAAAAAGAATGCAATCATTTTGATTATCATCAAACAATTTTCAATAACATATACTGCAAATAACTGAAATAGCAAGTAGTAGACATTCGAAAGCAAAATAATATGTTTAACTGGGGAGACATTAACAATTGATTCTACAAAATACACAGAATTATGAAGAAATCTACTCGCTTCAGCAAGGAAGATAAAAGAAAAATGTCTTTCTTCTCTAGCCATAAAGTTAAGTGTGAATCATAATTGAAAACCATTAACTAAGGCTCAAAATCAAGACTAAAAAGTATAGCCAAACTCCCTCCCCCTCAATTCCAGTTCAACAGCTTCAAGTATATTTTATAGAAGGTAATAGCTTCAAGTATATGAATGATCGAAATACCAAATAGCATGCTTCAGAGACCTTAAAAATGGTATGCTTGTCCTTAGTGGGCTGAAGCAGCATCACTGCCGCCTAATCCCATCTTCATCCCCAAAATAGCAAGCTGCTCAACAAACTCGCTACCTGTAAGAATTTCTGTCGTTCCATATATTACATCTTTGACTGGCAGCTGACTGCGTGCAAGCTCTTGCAAGCTCCCATACTCCACATAATTGCCACCACCTATCACAAACACAATAGCTTCTTTAAATGGTCCTTTCAGATGGCTACCACTTGAACCAAAGCTTGACTTAGGGGCACGGGGATCAAACACAAGATAAGAATCAATTTCAGGATTTGGTTTCCCCTCCATCAGGGCTTCGACTGTCCTTGTCAATGCCAGTTGATGATCACTAGACAATAGATTCTTCACACCAGCAGTAACAGCACTAATTGATTGACCATAGAGCTTCTCAGCCCAATCCACAATGTTACTTCTACTAGCAGAACTTGCGTTTGCCAATGAAACATTTAGGGACTTCATATTTTTAACATACTGAAATGCACTAGTATCAACTTCTGACTCCCTAAGAGCTGCGTCAACCAATTCCACTTTCTGATTGAGGAATGGTTTCAGAAGAGATAAGATACATGATTGCAAAACGCAGCTTATCCATCTTAGCACCTTTCCCTTTAAGCACACTGAGAAGCTCAGTTCGGTCGATGCCACCTTTAACCATCATGTCACTCTCCTTTTTGGCAAAAGAATCAAGAGACCTATCCTTGATCTCACCCAACAACACAGTAGCAATATTAGTATGCTTATCAATCACCTGCTTCCGCTCAGTCAACTCAGGCAGTGAATTCACCGCGTTCATCAAATGCTTTGTGTTACCAATCAAGTCTGTCCCATCAAATTCATCCCCCTCATTTCCACCGGTCCTCCTATTCACCTCGTCAACATCCTTCTTGTACTTAGTCAATTGGGTCTCGATCTCCACAGCTACTTGAGGAAATTCCAAGGACCCATTCGCCACCCAAAACGGATCCAACCTATCCAATTCATAAGATTTCATCCCACCCTTGTCTCCTTGCACACTCAATCTATTCAACCTCAAACCAAGCACATCATGAACAAGCGGCCTATACCTAAAATCATGCTGTATTGAAATTGACAACTCAAAATTACAATCAAATAAACAGAAAATGGGCCTATGAAACGAAGTTGAAAATTTCCCTCTTTGGGAAAACAAATTATTCTTGGCCAACAAATGGTCGCGCAATCGCTGATCCAACAAAGAGGCGACCATTTCAGCAGGGCCACCGCGAGGGCACGTAATTATAGTAACCACAGCAAGGGTAGCCAACACAGAAAACAAAGCACTGGCAATCTTGTCAATAATTTCCTCGATTTCACGGTCTCCAGCAGAGGGATCATTCAATTGAACATAACTAGACTTATTGGCAAGAGAAAACAAATTATCCTCTAAAGTTAGAAACTCCAAGTAGTGATCGTGAACCTTTGAAATCCGACGAATGGAGTCGGAATTGAGAGTCCCCGAAGCGAGATCTTGGAGGAGAGGCCGAGGGATGGAGGAGGAGAAATTGAGGTGGAAGGAATCGTAGAGAGATTTGGAGACGTCGGAGGCGATGCGGTGGACGTTGAGTTGAGTGGGTTGGACGAAGTAGACGGCGGGGACGTCGTGGACGGGCTTACGGTCTTTGTCGATGAGGAAATATAGGGTTACGCCGTGCTTGCGGAGGTCCTTGACATGGATGAGGGGAGAGAGAATGTCTTGGCAGAACTTGTCGTAGATCAAGATCTTGTACACTTGTTCTTCGTTGGCAGTTCCACTTGAAGGATTCACAGGTTGGTTCATATTCAACATTCGAATTATGCATTCTGCAAATCATATTTACTACATCAAATTCTATACATATGCGTACATATATATTATATCAACAAAATTAGATCGATAGATGACGACCGAGAGAGGAAGAAGAGGGATCTAGAGAGAGTTACCTGTCTGTCTTTGTCGCAGATTCAGCGCCATTGTTTCTTTGGAGGTTGTGATTTGAATTTCCTTCTATTACGCCTATACAAACAAAGAGCTTCCTTAACAATGGTTCTATTACGCCTATACAAACATGTTAATGTAAAATGTAAATTGTAAAATGTAAACTACCACCCACTCCACCTACCACCTCCACTACCACCTTCACCTACTCCCAAATCCTCTCCTATATAAATCCTTGTAATATACATTAATCAATACACATCAATCAATAATACATGAATTATATCATAATATCAGAGCTAGGTTGACAACCTAATAATTCCGCTTCATCGGCGGGCGGCAGCCTTGCCTTGGCCGCCCGCCGGACCTCTACACATATATTCACTCTGTTGCTAACAAATTCCATGGCAGAACTTCACCTTGAAGACACAGAGCATCTGAGCTGAAAACAAAAACAACACACAGATACACGCCTGCACAAACTCTCTCTCTCTCTCTCGCTGGGTTTATGGTAATGATCAACACACAAGCTCCCTCTCTCTTGCTGGTTTTATGTTTGGCAAACTCATAGCCCTGTGGGATGAGGTAGATGATTTATGTATGCGATGCCTTGATCTATGGGACTTTTGAGTATCATCAGATGCCATATCTGAGCCATGCCAATGCACATTTTCAAATTCCAAGTCATCATCTTCCTCATTACCAGTAGGAGCTTCAATCACACTAAGGGCATTCCTTTGTAGTTTTACCTCTATGCCATTTGTAAGAACCAGCCAATGCCAGCCTCCGAGGCCAACAGCCTTCTTGACCACGCCTTGGAGGCCAACAAGGACAGACTTGGTGCGGTTGTTACCAGTGACAATAACCTTGGTGTGACGAGGCAGAACAGAGAGCTCTTCTTCACTGCTATCTCCACAGCTCTGCAAATGCGAAAAGCCGCCATTGACGGAACTCTCCACTGCTTCTAGCATTTCAGTTTCCCAATTCAGTGAGTCTTGTGAGTCGAATAACTCGGTGAAAACTTGGTCTTCAACAGCTGTGACTGCTACGTCCGGCGACCCGACCAGGCCGAGCGAATCATCGGCACTCTTCTCGGCTCCGTCTTGCCTGATGGCACCGTTGATATTCGCAACTCTTACGCCGTTCCTCACAACGAGTCCTCTGATCAGGTTGCACTGGATGGTGGCTTCAATAACTCCATACTCTCTCTCGCTCTGTGGGAGCGTCCATGGCTGCAACCCAGCTCTACTCATTTTCATGGAGGTTCTCTGTTGAACCTCGAGCCACCACCTCCGCATCCACAGACCACCAACTGGACCCCAACGGCTAATCAATCCCCCCTATACTCTTTTGTTGATTTTATATATATATATATATAGGAGCACCTCCCCAGACCCACTTTTTTTTTTTTATCATCATCAACTTTCATCTTTCCCTTCACGCTTTACACACCACACCACCCAACTTGTCTCCACTTTCTTTTCTTTTTTTATATTTGTTTTTAATCCATCTTTTGCAAAGCCACCAAAAGTTTGCACACCCACCATCATTTTCTTTTATTTTATTTTACCCCATCATCCCCCACTTTTTTGCACATACTCATACTTCTTTTTATTTTTTAAACCAATCTTCTTTCTCGTTTTCATTCCCCCGATAATTTATATATTTTATTAAAAAAAAAAAAAAAAAACACCAAAACAAATCACACATTCTCATGTCCTTCCTACCATCCGAGTTTGCACAACCCATTTGTTTTATTCATATCAGGGGATCAACCCCGATCACAATTACAAAAAAAAAAAAAAAAAAAAAAAAACACACAAAACACAAACCAACAACAACCCACACAAACACCCACCCACAGGCGGGATTTTTCTTCTCTACTCTGCAGCCGGTCTCTTCTTCTTGCCTCCGTCCTGGGTGGCCCTTGCCGGTGTTGCCTCCGTGTTTCCCACTCCACTGGGCATGATCATTACTCCCTGCTCCTCCACTGCAGCATATGGCGGACCTCCAAATCGGAACATCACGGTGGCCTTCCGCTTCAGCTCTTTATTTTCCGCCTTTAGCACACTTATCTCTGCTCGCGCATCCTTATACATGCGTTGGAGCAGAGCCAGTTGGGCGTTTAACTGCTGCACCTCATTCGTCCTACTCTGCAGCCGGTGCGACAAGTTTGTGACCGCAGTCATGGTTTCCACACAGGACTTCAATGTATACTGATTAGCTTCAATATCCGTTTGCACTGCCATTTTTTGCTCCACCGACCGCATCGAAAAGTTCAACGGAGCAAATCCAGAGGTGTTTGGTTGAGGTTCACAGGCCACCGCACCAGTTATCTCTCTTGTTGACTCGTTGAGGTCGGGAAAGAGAGTGAGCAGACCACGGGAAGAAGAGGCTATGTTCTGGGTAGCTGAACGGGAAGAAGAACCCATGTTTTTGGGTTGCTGAGTGTTTCAGAGAAGGGTTGGTTACAGAATTGACTGTCCACGTCAAAGGTTTCAACTGGTTTGTTATGCTTCCAAGCCTCAGACTTCGCTTTGGTTTATAAAGACAGAAACGACGAGGCCGACACGCGCTCTGTCAATCACGTGCATCGCCGCGTGTCAGGCGCCTCTTTTGATGGCTCGACGCTTTCTGTCGGGCACGGCTTTTGATGAAGTGGGCGCGCCTTTTGAGGGCGCAACTTTTGCGGGCTCGATATATATATCTACATGTATATCTTTTGGGCAGCCTATATACACACTCATACAGTAGCTTCTACACCGGTCCGACATGACCCCGTAAACTGTCCTGCTACACCGGTCCGACATGACCCCGTAAACTGTCCTGCTACAACGGTCCGACATGACCCCGTAAACTGTCCTGCTACAACGGTCCGACATGACCCCGTAAACTGTCTGCTACAACGGTCCGACACGACCATACCGTGTCTTCTACAACGGTCTGACACAACCATACAGTGTCTCCTATCCCATTTTTAATTTTATTTGTCAGCTTATTTTTCTGTTTTGTTAATCTCTCCAAACTCAAGTTGGCTAGTACCTATCCTCCTTGAGTTTGAGGGGGGCTGTTAATGTAAAATGTAAATTGTAAAATGTAAACTACCACCCACTCCACCTACCACCTCCACTACCACCTTCACATACTCCCAAATCCTCTCCTATATCAATCCTTGTAATATACATTAATCAATACACATCAATCAATAATACATGAATTCTATCAAAACAAAGAGCTTCCTTAACAATGGCGAGTGTTGGTGCTTCTGCTAAAGCTCTGTTTGTTTGGGGAGTCTGTTTTTTAAAACTGAAATACAAGAGTATTTCTAAATTAATAGTTGTTACCACTGAGAGGAGATGATAGCAGCAGCATTTTATGATTATTCAATTTTAATTTGATCAGATCAAATGCATCGAATCACATTCAAAATTAGATTTTGATTTTATTGATTTTTTAATTTAATATATATATATATTAATTTATTTTATATATACTGGTGTATTTTTAACCAAAAATTCTTCTTTTAAATGTCTTCTCTAATAATTTATGTGTCATTACAGGAGAATTTCATGCCTATATGTTTTGTTTATTTTTAAATTATTAAACAGATTTTTAAATAAATTAATTATTATAAACTTGTTGTTGATATTTTAGGGAAAATTAGTCTAGGGTCCCTCTCCCACTTTTCGTAATGGAAGAGATCCACAAAATTATTTTTTGATATCTAAGGTCCCTAAACACATGACAGAGAAATTGGACCTTACCAAATCAAAACTCATCTCCCTCTTTCTCTCTTTAAACTTCTCCATTCCCTCTCAGACCTGTCCAGATCAACTCTCTCTCCTCCTCCAACCGACTCTCCATTGTAGCATTCACTGCGAGCTCGAAAAAGCTGTTGCCGCTGAGGAGAATGACGACGAACGGTCGGCTAATGGCCCGCCGCCGCCGCATTGCCGCCGTTCTTGCCGTAACTCAGTTCTGGTGCCACCAGTGACACACCTCCTCCATCGTTGGAAACCTCTTCGGATCTACCACTATCGCACTGCTTTTTTTTGTGAGAACAACTTCATGCAATCTTTGTTCATGTTCTTCCTTTAAATTTCGTATTTGTCACATGCACTCCTTTAAAGCACCATCTAAATGCGAAGCTCGGTCTTCAACAGTATGCTTCAAAAGTGTGACAGATTTTAGATGATTTTTTAGTGCCAAAGCTTCTGCCTCAGCCTTTTCCTAACCTACAGCCTCCTAGTCCACACCCATCCCAATTGCCTGAATTTCCTTTGACAGCATACAAAAATTCCATAAAGAGAATGAGTTTCTCACAGAACGTTTTGATCAGGCCTCTGCTTTGAATTGAAATTTCTCTGTGTTGATCCAGAGAAATTATCTGATTTGAATTGAAATTTCTCTGAGTTGGTCCAGAGAATTTCTTTGATTTGGATTGAAAATTTCTCTGGATTGGTCCCTGGTATTAAGATTTTTTAACATAGAGTTTGTCATTTATCTTATTTCCATCGTCAACCTCTATGTCATGTTGCATCTCCAAACCAGCCCCTGATGTTGAATCACAAGCTTTGCCCCTCATGATCATTTCCTTCCCAGAATTGTCATCAATCTATTCTCAATATTTTCAACTCAGAGAATTTCTCTGGACCAGAATTTCTCTGGACTAATTTTCTCTGGATCAACTTGAGGGACCTAAGACATTATGAAAATATTAGATGTCCTTTATGTTATAAAATCTTAATACGAGGGACCTTAAAAAAAAAATCCTATATTTTAATATGAAGGGTAAACTTGCAATAAAATATACATCATGAATAATTAAATTTTTTCCCGGGAAAAGTGATAAAAAATAAAATTTTATTGACTTTATTTATAATTTTAAATAGAAATTTTTATTGATAAATCTCATTTGGAGGTGTTCTAACCCAATAAGTCCATCAATAAAAATTATAACCTAATTAGTTTCATGTATTTATACTTTTATTCCATGAGGTCTTTTTTTTCTTAATTTATATTGTTTGTTGGACTATTATACCTTTATGTTTATTGTTGATATATATTACATAGAAAAAAAATACACACATTTTTCTTTTGTTGCTACCTCTATTCTGGTAGTTACCATTATTCACATTTTTCATTTTGATCAGTTTCATTCATATTTGTGGTATTATTTCGTTGTGTTGAGGTTTGTAACTCTCTATTTGGTAGGGTTTAGAAATTCTAATTCACACATGGTGGTGAAATAATATTACGTTCCTCTATTGTTGCGATAAAACTTTGTGTTCCTCTATTGTCATTTTGTGTTCGAAGTTCTGTGTTCGTCCATTATTGCTCTATGTTTGAAACTCTATGTTTCTCCATTGTTGTAAGTTAAAACTCTGTTTGTATTCAGTCAATTTTGTTATAAACATATTCTTCAAATGCGGGTTTGGTTTGATTTAGATTGACGAAATGGTGAAATTACCTAGATTGTTAATAATAGTAATAATGATAAAGATGATGATGAAGATGAGAATGTGGGTGAAGTTTTTTTTTGTTTTTAGGGTGATTGAGTTTTTTTTTTTTTTTTTTTTTAATTTCTAATTCTATTGCTGCCATTGTTTCTATTTTTTTGTCAATCAATGTGAATGTTCAGATTTCACATGATTTGAAAGTCTGAGAAATAAGTGTTGGAATATAGATATTGTCACGACTCAAACCCGCCCTTATGGGTTTAGTATTGTAACTGGCCAGTAATCCTTGGATTACCAAAGGCCTCTTGACAGATTAACATATAGTTAGAGGCTGCGGAAGCAAATATACAAAATATACGTACCATTGAGCTGTGAAGACATACATGAGACGCATAATTTAAAATTTTTATAAACTTACAAGTGATGTCAAAAGATATAACAATTACATATCACTCCTAGAAGTATAATATCATAAATCTTGCCCAAAAACTTAACAAAACAAACAAAATCTAATATGATTACAAAAACAGCCACAAAACTTGACTTCATTCGGAACCTCCTCGGGAGGCACAAAGGTTGGCTGACAAAAACTGAAACATAGGCCGTCAACTCTGGGCCTAGTCGTGTGTCTGCTCACCTACATACATAATATAAATAGTGAGTTGAAGCCTAGTGAACAATAACAAGGTAAAGAATTTTAATGAATGATACCCAACACAGACTTCAAATCTCGTGGTAAATCATAATCATAATCAAGTAGCAGAAACATAATCATAATATTATCCATATTCAAATCATGTGTGATACATCCATTAGCATAAACATGTCTATTTAGTCAAGCATATCAAGTTCTATAAAGGAACCTCCGGTACCGGGTAACATATCTAATATAACGGCCACGGTATTGTTTCCCTCGAGTAAGGGCATGTGT